TTTGTAACACTTCAGTGGTGACACCCAGTGGTTACTGCTCACCACCCCAGGAGTCTTTTATGTCTCCTCATAGTTGTTTTGCAGTCATTTACAGTGCCTTGCGAAAGTATTCGGCCCCCTTGAACTTTGCGACCTTTTGCCACATTTCAGGCTTCAAACATAAAGATATAAAACTGTAATTTTTTGTGAAGAATCAACAACAAGTGGGACACAATCATGAAGTGGAATGAAATTTATTGGATATTTCAAACTTTTTTAACAAATAAAAAACTGAAAAATTGGGCGTGCAAAATTATTCAGCCCCTTTACTTTCAGTGCAGCAAACTCTCTCCAGAAGTTCAGTGAGGATCTCTGAATGATCCAATGTTGACCTAAATGACTAATGATGATAAATAGAATCCACCTGTGTGTAATCAAGTCTCCGTATAAATGCACCTGCACTGTGATAGTCTCAGAGGTCCGTTTAAAGCGCAGAGAGCATCATGAAGAACAAGGAACACACCAGGCAGGTCCGAGATACTGTTGTGGAGAAGTTTAAAGCCGGATTTGGATACAAAAAGATTTCCCAAGCTTTAAACATCCCAAGGAGCACTGTGCAAGCGATAATATTGAAATGGAAGGAGTATCAGACCACTGCAAATCTACCAAGACCTGGCCGTCCCTCTAAACTTTCAGCTCATACAAGGAGAAGACTGATCAGAGATGCAGCCAAGAGGCCCATGATCACTCTGGATGAACTGCAGAGATCTACAGCTGAGGTGGGAGACTCTGTCCATAGGACAACAATCAGTCGTATACTGCACAAATCTGGCCTTTATGGAAGAGTGGCAAGAAGAAAGCCATTTCTTAAAGATATCCATAAAAAGTGTTGTTTAAAGTTTGCCACAAGCCACCTGGGAGACACACCAAACATGTGGAAGAAGGTGCTCTGGTCAGATGAAACCAAAATCGAACTTTTTGGCAACAATGCAAAATGTTATGTTTGGCGTAAAAGCAACACAGCTCATCACCCTGAACACACCATCCCCATTGTCAAACATGGTGGTGGCAGCATCATGGTTTGGGCCTGCTTTTCTTCAGCAGGGACAGGGAAGATGGTTAAAATTGATGGGAAGATGGATGGAGCCAAATACAGGACCATTTTGGAAGGAAACCTGATGGAGTCTGCAAAAGACCTGAGACTGGGATGGAGATTTGTCTTCCAACAAGACAATGATCCAAAACATAAAGCAAAATCTACAATGGAATGGTTCACAAATAAACATATCCAGGTGTTAGAATGGCCAAGTCAAAGTCCAGACCTGAATCCACTCGAGAATCTGTGGAAAGAACTGAAAACTGCTGTTCACAAATGCTCTCCATCCAACCTCACTGAGCTCGAGCTGTTTTGCAAGGAGGCATGGGCAAAAATTTCAGTCTCTCGATGTGCAAAACTGATAGAGACATACCCCAAGTGACTTACAGCTGTAATCGCAGCAAAAGGTGGCGCTACCAAGTATTAACTTAAGGGGGCTGAATAATTTTGCACGCCCAATTTTTCAGTTTTTTATTTGTTAAAAAAGTTTGAAATATCCAATAAATTTCGTTCCACTTCATGATTGTGTCCCACTTGTTGTTGATTCTTCACAAAAAATTACAGTTTTATATCTTTATGTTTGAAGCCTGAAATGTGGAAAAAGGTCGCAAAGTTCAAGGGGGCCGAATACTTTCGCAAGGCACTGTAATTGACTTTCTAGTACAAGGTCTCCAGTCCAGGGGCCCTGTGACAGCTTGGGGCCCTGGGCCTGTGCCTGGTAGACCCGTTTAGTAATCCATCTATGACTATTTGTCAGCAATCATAACTTCTTCTGTGAAAACATCATCTACACCATTTCAACAGTGCTTTACTATATTGTCATTCATTATCTGTTTATGCACCAGGCTCACTTTATAAGAGTTAAGAGTTGCTGACAAATATATTATATCTACTTACATCTACATTGTTATGGATCTTTAGCAACTGCTTATATATGGCACTATATTCACTGGGCTACATTAACTGACCTTAGTATTGATTATGCAAATAAAACTGATTTTACATTAAATGTTACACATGTACATACTGTTATATTCTGGACAAATGATGCTGTGGTTTTAAAATTAGCTGCTCTATTTTTCAATGCAATTAAGCCTATGACTACACACTTGAATGTTTGTGATCAAAATGAAACTGGTGGCTACCGTACCATCCCCTCCCCCTCTCGAAAGCGACAGCAATCTCAGATGCAGAATGTGAATTTTTGTGGGTGTGAGGGTTTTTCCTGTAGAAAATGTGTGTGTGACTTTAACTGTGAGGCTCAGGGTTGTTCCTGATTCTCATTCTAGCATGTAGCACTTTATGCACCTTAACTGTGATAGATAGATAGATAAACAGAAATAAACTAAAGCAACAGCTGTGTTAACAGCCATGGATTCAAAGCCCCTGAGTGTTGCCCAAGGAGAGCATTCATAATGAGCATGTAAGCTTGCATGTGTGTCTAAGCCAGTGTGACAGAGCTAGAGCAACAGGTGGTCTGCCTGACATCACCATCACATTTCTGGACAGGCTGCAAAGAGAGGGAGAGAACACCAAGAACGAACACACACACACACACAAACTCCACAGCAAACACATAATAACAGGCGCTGGGCCACAGGAAGTGGTCTCCATGGCAACATGTTTCTACATCCTGCTTTGCTGAAGGAAAGTAACTTTCAATCAAGAAAACAAACACACAGAACAAATAACCCTAACCCACATCAAGATATGGGAACAGCCTCTGTTTATGCTCAAAGGCAGTTGATATGCATGTGTGCATTTACATCAGACAAGACTGTAGGCAGTGATAAACAGATGACTGACAAATCAAAGGAAACTCCTGAGTAATTCTGTGGAAATGTAAAAAAATTGAGTCTGATTAATCAGCTGCTTAATCTTTTGATTGACCTTTTTATTCACAGAATGTCACAAAATGGGAAATAGTTTGTATTGTCCAACCAACAAATCCAAAGATATTAAGTTTATAATTTAGTATGACAACAGTATCAGTTCCTCAAATCAAAGAAGGTGAAGCCAGAAAATGTTGCTGAGTTTTTCTTCAGTTCAATTCACTGACTAATTGTCACACCTCTAGGTTATTGAATGGCTTACTGAGTATGAAAAAAGTGGGTTGAACACAATTAGGGGACATGTTTTGGAAGACTGATGTTCCCTCTGTCCAACAGAACTGTTCTGGAGACACTTCAATAAAAAGTCAAAGTTGCTCACTTCATGCTAGTTTTTCCTTTCATTTGTGACCCATCTGTATTTACACAGTTACTATGTTTACGGTAAATCATGCAGTGCATGCTAGCTGTTCATATATTCGAAGCTAAGCAGGTATTTGTTACGTGAGCCCAGACATGTCTGCACGCACCTGGTTCAGAGCAAGAAAAAGCTCAAGGTCATGTTGATATAAGTACTGTGAAATAAGAATGCTCTCAGATGTCTCTGGTCTGACTCTAACAACAGCTGCAGCTTTACATTGCACACAGTCTGTTGGCAAAACATGCTGTGTGGAGGAGAGCTGAAAGGGTTACAGCTCAGTCTGGTGTGTTTTTAGCCGTGTGTGGATTTTAGTAGACTGATCTTTACTTGTGTTGCTCAGTGCAGTAACACAGCTTAACCTCCATACTTCCTGCTCTTTAATATGACATACCACGCCTTTGCGAAGGTGTTGCTGTTTATATTTGACATAGGTTGCTGTGAGTCTTGAGACTGGCCCATTTGGCGTGGGAAATAATTGTGCATGTATCTGAGCCACAGTGTTACTCTCAATGAGCTCCTTCTGTGGCTTGGTGTATATTAGGTATCAAGACTTTTTTTTAAATAGCCAATTAGGTCTGGGCAACACAGTTGGAGAGCTTTTCATATTCTGCATTTTATTAGAAATAATCTTTACAAACCTGTTCTTAATTGTCCCGTCTACTGAGGAATCAGTGTAAGTTCAGAACTGGTAAATGAGCAGAGATTCCCTTATGCTTATAATAACTAATCTTAGCTGTGTCTGTAATTGTGATATATGGCACTGTGCAAAACACCTTGGCCACCATTAGTATTGCTGTTTTAACAAGGCTGTAATGATCATTTATATTTGTTTCTCAGAAGACAGAACCAGAAAATACAGGGAATATATACACAATGTTAAAAACTCAATTTTCAGAAGTAAATGGTTTTAACAGTCCAAAGTCAGTATTTGGTGTGACCCCCTCCCCCCACCCCCCGCACTTAACACAGCTTGAACATTTCGGAAGACCATCTCGAAGTCCTGAAACCATGACAGGCCCTCCACTCAGTTTCACTGAAGGCCGCAAACACTCATTCTTCCACCTTTCTCCAACTCTTCTTCTCACATACCATCAGTGATTGGACCTGAACATTACAAACTTCAATTCCTCAATCCCTAATATTCTTTTCCACTGATCTTCACTCCAGTCTTTGCATATTTCAGCCTTTTCTCCCTGTCCCCCTTCTGAAAAAGTGGTTTCTTGGCTGCAGTCCTTCCACAAAGGCCGTTCCTGATCCAGCCTCTGGAAGGACAAGTCTGGCATTCAGATGAAGCTGTCAGGTACTGAGTCAGGTCCTTGCTGGATTTCCTCCAGTCTATCAAAGTAAAAAGCTCTTTTCTTGGTCTTCCACTCCAGTTTTTGTTCTTGACCTCATACCAGGTTGAATATCACATCCTAAGTATCCAGTTTATTTGCTGATTTTTCCTATACTTTTGTCTTTTAATACTGTGTACATATTTTCTACATCTTCTAGTTGTATTCTGATAAGGAGACATATTACTAAAACAACAAATCTAACAGTAGCCTAAGTCTTTTGCACAGTACTGTAGCAGCTGTAAATTATACTTGCTCCTTCATATACTGTAGTAGGTTTACAACCAAAGACACTTTATTCCCATGTTATCTAATTTGTGCACACATTCACACACACCCACCTTGGTGCTGTCCTGGCACTGGAAGACATAGCAGGCACAGCTTGGAACATCTCTGACCAGGAAGCCGAAGCTGTTGGGCTCTTGGCTGTTGTGAATTAGCTTAGTCACCTGGTGGGGACGACATCCAAATAGCACGGTGTGTGTTAGAGGGCTCCAGACATCTCCCTCTCCCAGAACAGAGACACATCGCACCCACGATGCCGAGACACATAAAAAAACTGTCTGATTTGAGGTACGAGGGTCCAACTGTCCACCTCTTTGTGCTCCACTCTGCATCCCAGTTCCCAGGTCCTTCCTTGCAGGCCGAGACCTGCTGATCTCAGCCACCACCCAGGGCAGCATAGCCATGGTGGTTAGGTGGTGGACCGGCAGAGAACCAATCAATGTCAGTGTATATCGCACCTCCACCACCTCTCTCTCTTTCTCTACCCCTTCTCCCCATGTTGCAGCCCTTTCCCTAACATGACTGAGTTTCGGTGGACGCTGTGAGGAAGAGGTGAGATTTGAAAATGAGGGACATGACCGGTGATTTGAAGTTAGATTAAGGCGGGGTTTCTCAGAACTGCCTGGCCTGGAGGGTTCATCCTTGCTGGACTTCACGTCAAAGCAGAGTCCTTCCATGGCTTGTGTGGCCAGAGACAGCTATCTGCCTGTGATTTCCCTGAAAAACATCAGTTAGCGGACAGGGATCTTAAAGGTCAGGTAACAGTACAGCCACCAACACATACAAGACCTCTTTAGCTAATAAGATTTCAAAGGAACAAGTAAATATACTTATCAAACATTTATGTTGTAACTTGAATAAATGTTCCTGCTGGATGTGTGACAATTTGTCATATGTGTAGAACAAGGCCAATTTCCCTAGGACACCATGAATGAGCTACTTCTTGCAGTGAGGTACTCAGAGGGTGTTGTTTGCCCAACCAGAAACACATGACTTCAAATACTGACCTAGACTTTCACATTCTCAAGGACAAACACCTAACCTTTAAACCATGAAAATCAAATCAAACCCT